TGGTCCAGTATCTTAGTTCTGGGGCCAGCACCCCCCAGCTGTCAGGCACGGCTACCTGTCGCCAAATTTCAGTTTCATTCCCTCTGAAGAATGATGGCTTATATTCCTGAGATTCCCCCCAGGCAGAGCCCACATTTTCATACCACCCTAACATGCTCTTCAAATTTGGTAAAAATCTACCCAGGTATTTTCACGGGATGTGGTAAAGGCAAACAAAGAAACAGAAACCTCATTTCTTAAAATGAAGTTCATTTATGTTCATTTATGATCCATGTAGTTCAAAAACAGGTTTTATATGATGCAATGTTTGTTTAAAGTACTAACAGTTTTGAGCATGATGATTAGACTCTGGATTTTTTCCATTGACATCTGCATGTCTCAAGCTCTGGGCCAGGCATCTATATAACTGTAGACATTTTCTTCCACCTGAACTGCTACTTCTTACTGTTGGACCTCTAGTCTGTGAAACGCAGTGGCCCAACAGCCTGATATCTCTGCAGATGCAGGATCCCCAGAGCCAAGAATGCAGGCAGAGTGGCCATGTTCTCCTCAAAGGGGCAAGCTCCTTGGGCTCAGTATCGGTACGCATTAGCCTTCCTTCATTCGTGGGGTTCTAAAGCTACTTGGAGTGCAGGGAAGTGCACCGACCATTTGACCATGCCAAGGTTTCCAGGCCCTTCTGGAAGCTGCAGCCACCTCCAACAGAAGACCAGGTCACCAAGGAGCCTTGAAAATAATCCTCTGAAGCCACAATTAGGAGAAAGTTGTCCTCCCACACCTGAAGTCACTGATGGGCTAGGCCAGTCCCTCTTCCATAATCGGGGTAGGATGTGTCCACGGGGCAATCACACATCATGGTGCCAGCACACTCGCTCCTCCTCCTCCAGCCCAGGTATGCGCTGCAGCAGGTGAGGGAAAGTGGCCATCTCGAGGCACCGCCAGCCAAGCTGCTTCGGCGAGGCACTGGGTGATTCGGGTATATTATCTCATTTAATCTACAACAGTCTTTGGGATTAGTCATTTCTCTCCCCCATTTTATAGCTGAGGAAGCTGAGGTTCAAGGAGGTTAAATCGTTTGCCCAAGGTCCTGCAGATCATAAGTAGCAGAGTCCAACCCACGTGTGACCAATACATTCTTTTTTTTTTAGATTTTATTTATTTATTTATTTGAGAGAGAGAATGAGAGAGAGAGAGCATGAGAAGGGGGAGGGTCAGAGGGAGAAGCAGACTCCCCACTGAGCAGGGAGCCCGATGCGGGGCTCGATCCCCGGACTCCAGGATCATGACCCGAGCCGAAGGCCGTCGCTTAACCAGCTGAGCCAGCCAGGCGCCCCTGATCAATACATTCCTCCTCAGACCCCTACAGCAAGCAGGAGGGAGTGTGCCCCAACTGCCATCCCCTGATGGCTCCCTGTCAGGGTCCCCGGGACCGGGGCTTTGTTCCAGTGCTGAACGCAGGCTCCCTCTCCCTCTCTCCTCCGCCCCCTCTCCCCAGGGTTGCCAGAGTAATGTGTCTCTTCTGTTCTGCTCTCAGTTTCCAAACTCGCAACGCTGGAGTCCTCTGCTTGGCTCGCATTCATTCTGAGCCGAGAGCTGGCCAGCTCTCAGCAGTGCAGGGCCGTCCATCACTCCTGTCTCAGGTTCGCTCCTCGGAGAGCCGGAGCTGACCACAACTGCCTTGGCAGGGTTCCACTGTGAGGGAGTCACAAAACTGGCATTTAAGTCCGGAGCGGAAAAAACACCCCAAGCTTGTTCGTTTTTTCTGACAGGTGCTGGAGCCCATGAAAGGTCAGATTCCAGCTCGCAGTCACATCCTGGCTTAGCCGGCTCCAGCACACAAAGGCCTGTCTGTCTCACCCGAGCGCCGGGAGTGAGGACCCAGGCCAAGGGCTTAAAATGGCCACCTGATGGCCTGCGCCTGCTGATCCGTTCCTTCACGGGCATTGGCCTAAATGAAGCATTGGGAAGCCCAGCTGCCGAGGATGTGTGAAACAGGCGAAATGAAGAAGAATGCAGGCTTTTTTCTGATTTGTAATTGCAAGAGATATTAACCCCCCGGCAGCCCATGAATCCATCCCCTGACATCCAGCCTGCTGTGGCTCATTTGTAAGAGCCCTGGGACACTTCTGTTTCATGTTCAAAGCCTTGCTGGGCTGGAAAATTGAGTGAGAGCTGTCCCTCCAAGCCCCAGCAAGGATGTTGGGAAAGGAAGGAGTTTGTTCTCTTCCTTGCTGATGTATCAGGGATAGCTCCGAGTTGCGGTGTTATTGGAACAGAGGGTGTGTGTTTAAAATGCACGTAGTGCATGCTTTCAACTGGGAATGTTTGTTTTGTTTTTGTTTTTGTTTTTTTTTAAAGAATTTATTTATTTATTTGACAGAGAGAGACACAGCCTGAGAGGGAACACAAGCAGGGGGAGTGGGAGAGGGAGAAGCAGGCTTCCCGCAGAGCAGGGAGCCCGATGCGGGGCTCGATCCCAGAACCCTGGGATCATGACCTGAGCCGAAGGCAGACGCTTAACCGACTGAGCCACCCAGGCGCCCCTGGGAATGTTTGTTTTTGCAGCCTTTACGAAAACAGCCCCCAATTCAAAATGGCTCCAAGGCCCCACAGTCCTGTATTTTAAGTTCCTCATCAACAGCTGTAGGCTGAGGCTCTTTCACATCTTTAACTTCTTCAAAAGATGGTCACTCTACCTACCGTGCCTCCAGACCTCTCTAGTCATGTGATTCCTTCCCTCCTCCTTCCCCCACCCTCCCCATAACTTTACACCAAACTGTGATGCTGGCGGGGAGCCAAAGGACAGCGGCTACTGCTTATCACCCTGTAGAGGAACATGGGAGATCTTGATTTTATAAGGATTTCATTTGAAAGCTCCTGTTAAATAGCAAGCCCAGACTACCAATAAAATTCTTTTTTTTTTTTTTTTTTTTTTGAGAGAGAGAGAATGAGAGACAGAGAGCATGAGAGGGAGGAGGGTCAGAGGGAGAAGCAGACTCCCTGCCAAGCAGGGAGCCCGATGCGGGACTCGATCCCGGGACTCCAGGATCATGACCTGAGCCGAAGGCAGTTGCTTAACCAACTGAGCCACCCAGGCGCCCTACCAATAAAATTCTTACCAAAAAAAAAAATATATATATAATAAATCTGCATGTGAAATAAACACAGTTGTTTTGGAATAATTTCTTCCCCAACAGTTGAGAATCTCACCCTAATAAGAAACTTTCTCAGTAAAATAAGCCACACACCAGAAACTGGGGCCCTAGCCTCTCCTAACTGTGCCACGGAGTTGTTCTGGGTCAAAATGTGTTCATACCGAGATGTCAGGGGAGCCCCAGCTTTCTAAGGGGGCAAGAAATGCCATGAGCACCAGCAGGAGGCTGACTGCCAACCTCTTCCTTTGTTTACCCAACTCCCCACGTGTCCTAAATGTGCCCCCAACCCCTAAAAGTCTGGTCTCTGCCACCTCAGCAAGGTTCCATCCCATAAACTCAACCAGTGTTTTGACTCAAAGAACTTTTGTTAGCAGCCTCTGTGAAAAGACAAGATGTCCTTGGGGCCGGTCCCACAGCCACTCTGTAATCTCTCTCTTCGGGAAGCACAAACATAACCCTAATAAACATACTGATGCTCACACCAACAAGATGCACATATTGTGCTAAGCTCTTTCCCAGCACGATCATAGGATTTCCCCACCACTCAGGGAAGTAGGTATGATTCACCCCATTTCATAGAAAAAGAGCCTGAGGCTCAGAAAGGCCCCTTCATGGGGTGGAACCAGCATGCAAACAACATAAATCTGACATCACAGCTTAGCCACCCTGCCGCTGTGCCTCTTCTAACTAGGGATGTTAGGAATAAATAATCCCCAATAATCTTTTCAAGGAGTATAGTATAAAAAACGTTTTGGCCAAAATAACTATCATTTATTGGGCTCTCAGTATGTGCCTGGCACTGCTAGAAGCTTTGTATAAATCTCTCCGAACATTCCTGCAAGGTAGCTAACATGACTCCATGTGATGTCAGTGGCCCGACAGACATGGGAACAAAGCAAAACCCTGAGTTTGATCCTAGAGTAAGAGGACCCTGGCCATGCAGCTGGACTACATACAATATGCATTTGGCAGCGTTCAAACAACGTACTGCTCCATCCTGTTATTTATTATTATTAGAAATAATAAATGGCATTTATTGAGCATAGAGCATGTGCTTTAGGGTTCCCATCCTGGTAGGTTTGTGGTCCCTCTTTAGGGATGTCAGCTTTCCAAAAATGTGATTCTTGTGATTTCCCAGACTGCCTGGGGCTCCGTCGTGTGTGTGTGTGTGTGTGTGTGTGTGTGTGTGGTGTGTTTGCACACTCCCGCTATGTGTCTGTCACACTGCAGGGAGCTTTTCCTCATTTAAACAGCCAATTAAAACCCACTTTGGCACTTAACGCATGTCACTGCTTCTAGGCACTCAGCTGCCTTCCCAGCAGGCCTTTAATTTGATAAAGAGCTTCTAATAACGACTAACAGAGCCCCGGTAAGTTAATTAAACCTCGTCCTTTATTTTGCTTTCAAGGTGTACCCTCCCCTGTAAAAGGCCCAAGGTTTGTGCTTGCAAATGACTTTAGACAATGTTCCATGCTTCAATGAGAAAAGTATGTCTGTCATGTCCTGGCAAGTTACACTTAAAGTCTCAATTTCAGCATCATGTCAGGCTTTAACGGAGGCCAGAAGCAGATGGAAAAAACCTTTGCACCCAGTTGTATGGAAGCCAGAGTTAGCAATGGAAGATGAGTTTCCTCTGAGAGTATAATGCTGAAAGACGACCTGGCTGTCATACCGAACTCCATTTATCCCATTTCTTTAAAGTAATCTGAGAGTCCAGATGGGTTGTATAAACAGAAGAGGAGGTTCCTGGGAGTTCACTAGCTTAATGAAGCCCGTATGTTTGACTCATGTAATAAGTATTTAATCATGCTGATGAAATTCATTTAAACCTCAGCCACACACGCCGTTGCAAAGCCCCAATAATGCCCTACATCACTCGTGCTGGCGGTGGTGGAGCAAGAGGTGAAACAGAAGGCTGGTGACATTTCACATGGTAAGTGGGCTTTGGAAGAGATAATGAGCCACGAGAAGCTAGCTTGTAGCTTTATTGCCTCTGAGTCTGCCCATGGTGAGGTGCTAAAGGCTGGGTAATAACTCACATAACCCCTCTTCTTAATTTCTGAGTGATCAATGAGAAAAGATACATCACTTGGGAAGCTTTCTGCTGCAAGTAACAGAAACTCCCCAACTCAACCAACGTAAACAATCTGGAAGTTTGCTAAATGCACATAATTAGAAGTTCTGATACACAGTGCTGTCAGACCCAGTTAATTCAGCAGCTTGATCACATCAACCAAAGACCCGAGTCCTTCCCGTCTCCCTTCTGCAATCCGTGGTGTGTTCAGTTGTCCACAGGCTAGCTGCCCCCATGACCTCCATGACGGCTGCCAATGCTACGTCACAGTGGAATGTAAATGACTGCAGTCCATTCACATCCAGTGGAAGGGGAGAAGCCATTTGTTCCTTTGTTAACAAAGAAAACTTTTCTTAAAGTGCCCAATCCCATCCTTAAGATCTTTTGCTCCCAAGCCAATGACTGACATAGGGACAGGATCCCCGTGATTGATTGACTTAGACTCTTTATCTCTGAGTGGCCAAAGTAGTGCTGGACTGGAGCAGCTCAGGCCAGTCTGCAGGAGCTGACAGCGCACAGCTCTTACCAAAGCCCTCCATTTAGTGACCTCGTGTGGGTATCTTGAAACCAGCCACAATGGGCAGATTTATACCACAGGAATTGGCAGACGCTACATACCAGGCTTTTTTCCTGAAGAGCCAGTTGATACGTATTTACCAGCACATCTCACGGCAACAGGGTCACCTTCCTTAAGGCTGGATGCCAGAACAAAACTGGGGTTCTTTTAGCTGGAAAGAAAAATAGGGACGTGGATGCCAAATGGGCAATCAACATTATCTGAGAAGGGCCCAGTGGCCCACTCGTTCTTTCTAGAAAACACAGCACTTGGAGTCTGAGCAACATTAAAATACCTTAGAGAAGTGTAGGGAGAACTCTAATTGGCTTTCAAAATATCCTAAAAGAACCTGCTTTGGTAGGAAGCACTTATTTTGTTGGCTGGCTTCGTTTTTCTGCCAAAGTTGAAAAGCTTCTCCTAAGAAAGTTCTTGGTGTCCTTTTGTCTGAAATGGTACTCCACGCATAGCGTGTTCTATGCTCATCCAGGAGAATCTGTGACCACTGCAGTTCCCTGGACAGCTTCCCCAGGAGTCCGGTTCACCAAGTCTGCTGAGGGGACCAGGAAGCTGCACTTTTAGCAGCATCCTCCTCCCCCTCTCAGTGATTCTGATGCAAGTTGTCTGAAAAGGAATTCCATACAGCAAAAGAAAGCCTGCCCTCACACTGGTCTAACTCAGAGGTTGGCCAGCTGGAGCCCACAAGCTAAGACAGATTTTTATATTTTTAAACGGCTTCTAGATCTCAAAAGAAGAATATACTGTTTTGTGATGTTAAAATAATATGAAGTGCAAATGTTTTCGGTGTCCACAATCAGGTTTACCTGTAACACAGTCACACATGTGCGTATGTGTTGTCTGTGGCCTCCCTCGAGCTATAATGGCTGAGCTGAGTAGAGCTGCAACACGGATCCCATGGCCCACAAAGCCTAAAGTATTTACTGTCTGGCCCTTTACAGAAAAGTTTGCCAACCCCTGCTCTAACATATTCCATTCAGTTGAAGAACCAATGGAATGAGAAAGACTTTCCCTATCAGTTCCCTCACGGAGGGATTCCCAATGGGTCAAGTCAAAGCCACCAGCCACATCAGAGCCCTGCTGCCTGGGAATCATTCTGTGGCTCCGTTTCCTTTGGCTCAAAGATGGTGAACAATGGCCAGGTGGCTTTCCCTGTGACTGCTAAAGGGCCCTACATGGTGTGTATAGCAGGTAGCGGAGCTTTCTTAGTAATATGCTCCAATGAATACAAAATCAGTAGACATCATACCATGTCCCATGGTGCCTCTGCCCCAGACACACCATTGTGCTTGCCCATGGTCAGGGTCAGCAGGGAGCAGATACAAACACATATGACGCATGGCCGCTGCCCTCCTGGGACTTACACTTTAGCTGGAAAGAAAATACAGAAAACTTCCAGGCAAGGCAAAAACAGCAGTGCTTCCATTTCATGCTATGGGACTTTTCTCAAACAAAGTCAGAAATGTGTTCAACCATTAGCCACCCTAGGTCAGGGCTCCATGAAATCAACGTCCTCTGTGAGAGAGGGACCCACAAAGGAGAGCTCCCAGAACTGGAGGCCTGCACTGAGGATTCTGGAAAGTTCCACTCAAAGACTCTTTGTTGTCAGAAAGTCCCTGATGAGTAGGACACAGAATGTGAACTCAAGGAAGAAGAGGACTCAAAAGGGGGGCTGAACAGAGACTAAGGAAGAACACATAGAGAAGATGGTATCTGAGAAGATCTTAAAGGGGAGGTCATAGAAGCACCAGACTAAGGATGCAGAAATAAGAATGTATAGGACGACTGAACAGAATGATGTGTCCCCTGGTAAGGCTGGACGAGGGGGATTAGGCTGAGAAGGTAGGTCATGTCATAGTGTAGAAGACCCTTAATGCCAGAATCAGAAATTGGCACTTAATTCCATAGAAAAGGAGGAATCGTTTTTTAATGTACATTGTGCTCTAAAATGTAACATATACAAAAAGGGGCACAAATCACAAGTGAACTTTCACCAAGTGAGAACATCCAGGTAACCAGTAGTTCTATTCCCTGCAGTACCTCGATCTGTGGGAAGTCTCCCCATCCTGGTATATAATTAATCATAACAATGATCATTATGTCTTATATTTATATAGGATGATTTATAAATATATTTACATGCGTTATTTAAGGCCCTCAAATTATGTGATAGATATCGTCACCATCGGCCTCGTATGGCAAAGGCATAAAGCAGTAAGATCACATGAGTATTCAGTAGAAGAATTTGGACTCTTTGTATCCTCACTCCATTAGTGGTACAATCACTAAAATGATGTGGTAGATATATATTTATTCAAATAGAAACATGGTCAAAATATATTACGGAGTTAAAGAAAATAGGCTACCAAACAGCCATATAGAATATTGCTTATGGAAGATCTCACAGGGCAGTAGAACATACCAGAGTCAGACCATCTGCTTTCAAACCCTGGCTCCGACATTTACTGGCTATGTGATTGCTATGGACTGAATATTCTGTGCCCCCAAACTTCATCTGTTGAAGCCCTAATCCCCAGTGCAATGGTATTTGGAGCTGGGCCTCTGGCAGATAATGAGGAGCAGAGGAAGACGTCCCAGCTGGTGGCTGCCCAGCGGCACAGAAGGGCAGGTGGCGTCTCTGCTTCGTCCCCACTCGTATTCTGGGAAATTGATCCCTTTATCTGAATGGCCTGGATTTAACTGTTTGGAATTTTGACTAATTTACCGAGTGTGTCTTAACGATCTGAATTCTGATAACCCTTGGGGAAGGGGCCAGTATAATTCACTTCCTAAGCACAGGAGCGTTGGAGTCATGCGTAGAATTCTTGGCTCCCCCAGTTACGGGTTGTTTGATCTTGAATAATTAAACTCAAAGGAAGCTCAGTCTCATCTACAGAAGTTGAAATAGAACGCATTCCTGACAGGTTGCTGAAAGGATTCAGTGAGATGACATAAGGCACTGCGCGCAGGGCCGGCCAGAAAGTAAGCGCTCCAGAGGGGTAGGCATGCATTAGTAATCACCCACAATAGGGCATCATCCCAAGAGTGGGGACCCCTGAAACAAGCATGCTGGGTGCCTTCCCTACAATCCCCGAGGCCCCCAAAGCACCCAGAGTCTCCAGCCCACATTTGTGCTTAGCTCTGCTGAAGGAAGAGGTGCAGGTAGGCTGGTGGAGGCCATGGAGGCCAGCAGAGACCAGAGCGGGGGCAGCCACACGCCGCAGTCCTGGCCTCCCTGAGACCTGCTGTACCCTGCTGCTGGCTGCCACATTTGGAGCGGGAACTCAGTCAGCCTGGCGTCTGTCAGCTCTCCTCAGCAGAATGCAGGGGGGCTGCTGTGGGTCTTGGTGCAGGATCGCCAACCCTTCCTCCCCCATGCCAGGGCAGGGCAGAGGGGAAGGGGCCTAACCTCATAGGGTGGTGGCTCTTGCTTTTTGCTTGAGATTGTCTGTAGATGCCTGCTTCTACCCGGTAAACACCCAAGCGCCCCCTGTGGGTGTGAGTGAATGCAGGTTCTTTGCCAAGGAACTCTGGCTTCCAAAGCTGGCGATGCCGGGAGGTACTTCCCCACCTCCCTCCTACTCTGTCTTAGTTGTGCCTCTGCCATGTCCCAGACCCTGAGGACACCAACGCCCTGATGCAGCCCCAGAGTAAGGGCGGGGCACCCAAGAACAACAGAGAGGTGAATGCCATTCTCTTCCTCCTTCTTTGACTTCTTGGGGCAAAGGGATGATTCTGAAAAAGCTCAAGGCCCATTCATGGTACGGCCCAAACAGAGTGGGCTCAGGGCACTAGCTCCTTGGGGGTAGCTTTCATGACTGTTCTTCTCTTACGGAAGGAAACCCCAGTCCCCTCAGTTTTCATGCCAAGAAATCAGAGACTTTTGTGTTCTTATAGAAGGAAAAAAGGAGGTAGGAGGATGAGAAGGACAGAGAAAAACTGGACCTCATCGTTTGGAGCCAGGCCCACAATGGATGGAGAGTAGACGCCGGCTGCCAAAGAGGCCGTAGTGCGGGCGCCTGGGTGGCTCAGGTGGTTAAGCGTCTGCCTTCGGCTCAGGTCATGATCCCAGGGTCCTGGGATCGAGTCCCGCATCGGGCTTCCCGCTCCTTGGGAGCCTGCTTCTCCCTCTGTTTCTCTCTGTCTCTCATGAATAAATAAAATAAAAATCTTTAAAAAAAAAAAAAAAAGAGGCCATAGTGCAAGGATGATGACCGGGGCTGTGGCCCAAGTGCGACACAGAGCTGAAAGTAGCAGCAAAACACACGTGGCCACGGACCCGCAGCCACCCGTCCCCCAACAGCAGGGGCCATGGGGAGATGGGCACACCCACAGTGCCTATGCTGGTGTGGAACCCACTTGTCCAGGGAGAAGGAGCAGAAAGAAGAAAAGGAAAAAATGGCTGGCTCACTCTGGATTCATAAATCACTGGAAGGGAGAGACCTTGCCCGGTGAAGTTGGAGACTCTACCTGGCACCGTCCTGAGGGTGAGCCTGGGTGTCATAAATCCCCGTGGCTCTGCCCACCACAGCCCTGCCCACTGGCCCAGGGCAAAGATGATGGTTATTTTGCTGGCTCTGGAGCAGGTGTCTGCCAGTCCATGGACACAAGCCCATTCTATGTGTTTCCCCTTGAGTGTGATGGGGGTAGAACAGAGTGGGTATCTGTCCCCGGGAACCTGGGAATGTGGCCCGGTGGCCTGGCAGAGCTCGAATGTCCTTGGCCAGCTCTTGGTGAGCAGAGACAGTCAGGAGATGAGTCTCATGATCAGATGACTTAGGCTTGCTGGAGTATTTTCCTCAGATTTTGGAATCATCTGAGGTCACTTGAGCGTCCTTGCCCTCCTTGTTGGGTCCCTCAGGTAGCTCACTGAATTCTGTTTAGCTTGTGTTGAGTGTTTAGCTTGGGTGGGCTTGCCCAGGGGGTGGTTGTCACAGTAGACTTTTATAGTTCACCTCACTGTCGCATCCACCAAGGAGGGGCCATACACAAAAAGGGACCGATTACAGATAGCAGTTGTCTCCCTCCCTACCAGCCCAGCTGAGCTACATGTAGCCCTGCCCCCCACGGCTTCACCACTGTCCGCATCATATCCCTGCTAGTACGCCTGCAGGAGCCCTTCCATCTGGCAAAGTCTTAATAATGCTACGAGGTGTCATCCAAATGCCCCATCTTCTGGGAAGCCTTCCATGACATCTCCCCCACCTCACGCCATCACATGCCAGAAAACCAACGAGAGCCCTTCTTTCTTTCGTTTGCTTCACAAACGATTGTTAAGTCCTACTATGTGCCAGGTGCTGTCAAAAACAAGATGGACCCAGTCTCTGCCTTCATGGAGTTTCGTCTGTTTGGATTAGAGAGATAATAAAATATAACTTAAGATGGTCACACTTAAAAAATGCTTTAAACTGAGAGCAAATGATAACGAGTAAATTTGCTAAGTTACCCTAGATGGGGCAATGAAGGAAGGCCTCTGTGAGGACAGATATTCAGCAGAAGCTGGAAGACGAGCCCCCAGTGGTACAGTTCAGAGGGGACGATGTGTGCTGAGAGACCACTGAGCGAGAGGACAGAGGGGCTCCTGCAGCTGGAGAGCAGTCAGGCTTAGATCACTCAGGGCCAGCAGCCACGGGAAGGAGTTGGGTGGTCGTCCACACTCAGGATCCTTCAATCATTTGGTATTTTACCCTGTTTCGGCAGGCATTCTGTTACACGGTTCCCACTGATTTACTTCTCTACCTTCCAAGCGGAGTATGAGCCCTTCAAGGGCAAGGCTGTGTTTCGCTTGTGACTGCATCTTTGGCATTGGCCCATTCAGCGTATCGTGGCTGGATGAGATGGGCATTGACCCCTGACCGCCTGAGGAGATTCGTACCTGTCTATTCTCTCCCCTTCCCAAGGTAAGAGAGCAGCTCCGCTTGGACGACCGGGTGGACGCGCCAAGCGGCCGGAGTAACTGACCTAGCCTTTGTCCTGAGATAACCCTGGCACCTGAGACACAAAGGCCACAGGCCTGGAACTGGTGGAGGCTTGGGCTCCTCTCCAGCCGCAGGCAGTGCCAAGGCTTCTCAGCAAGACTGAGCACCTTCTATGGGCTCATCCATGTTTTGAGGGCACGGCAGAAACTCACGATGAGTTTCTGCCCATTGTTTGAGAATTGTTTACATAGAAAAAATCTGGTAAAAACAAATCGGGTAAATATGCTCATCACATTTTTTTTTTTAATTTTTTATTTATTTATTTGACAGAGAGAGAGATAGCGAGAGCAGGAACACAAGCAGGGGGAGTGGGAGAGGGAGAAGCAGGCCTCCCGCCCAGCAAGGAGCCCGATGTGGGGCTCGATCCCAGAACCCCGGGATCATGACCCGAGCCGAAGGCAGACGCCTAACGACTGAGCCACCCAGGCGCCCCTCATCGCATGTTTTGATCTGTGGCAAGAAGCACTGACCCTAGGGACACTTTTGGATTTCAGTTTAGCCCACAATTCTAGGCCGGGCCCTGCCTTCCGAGAGCTTACAGTCTGGTTAGAAGTAAAGACTTGTAAACAAGTAAATGCTAGAAAGTATTTTAATTGCTCTGATGTAGAACACCAGCTCAGTTTACAGATGAGGTGATCAATTGTAGCTGGGGAGAAAAGGGAGAGCAGGGGACATTGGAAAGGTTTCCATTTGGAGAGAGTGAGTACATGTTGACCAGGCAGATGAGAAAGGGTCTTTCTGGTGGAGGGAGCAGGGTAAGCAAGGGGGGGGGGGGGGGGGCGGGGAAGTTCAGAAAGGGTCTACTGCATGAATTGTATGTGTATCTGGCAAGACTCAGTGTCCGATACTGGGGGGATTAGGGGGGTGGGGCAGGTTATGGAGATTTGAGTGCTGGGATGCCGGGCTTAGACGTGATCCTGTGGGCACAGAGCTCCCGTGAAGAGCTTTAAGTGGGACAGAGAGTGTAGAGGTCGTAAAGACTGCTGGGGGTGGCAGTGAGGAGCCTGGAGGAGAGGAGACCAACCCGGGAGGCCAGGGAATCAGGCGAGGCACAGTGAGAGCTGCCACTGGGTGGAAGCCGGGGGCTGAAAGAGAGGGAAGATTCTGTGGAGGAGTTGGAGCCCTTAGAAAGCTGCTTTGGGGATGGAGAAGGGCTTTCACTCTCACGGTTCCCCTCAGGGTGGGTGACGGTAGCAGCATGGAGGGGAGTAGATTGGGCAGGAAATCCATCCCCTTCTGGACAGTTCGAGATTGACATACTCACTACCAGATATATAGCTGGGCAAGGGGGTGCCCCCCCCTGGCCTTCTCACCTTGGTAGCCCCACTGGAGCCCTTCCTGGGTCACACTGCTTCCCATGAAACGAGAAGAAGTCTGTGGGACCATGGGGACGTGCCCGCCTAGATGCAGAGACGCCTCCTTCTAGACCTGACCCGGGTAACTAGAACCTGGGAATCCCCTGCCCGAATGACCCAGTCTGTGGCCTCTTCCCAGGCCTGTCCACCCCAGGCTGGCTGATGTGCACACTTTGGTCCCAGGCAGTGGCCAAGTGGCCGTTGTTTGGTGCAGCGCACAGACAGAGCTTGGTTGTGGGGTCTTTGCACTTATACATGTGTGTAAGGCCTCTTGGGGTCTGGGACAGGGGAGGGGTTTGGAAGAAAAAACGTCTCCATTTGGCTCCCACAAATATTAGGGACTGACCTAGAGGTAACCTGTAGGGTTACTTGGTGTTCTGAAATCTCCTTTCTAGATTAGTTATAATATCTACAAGCCCGCCTTACCTCCCACCCCCACCCAAGGTTGGTCCGACTCCTTTCCAGACCCCTCATTATCGTGGTTACCTCTTTTGAATTGACCGTTTTGTGTAACTAGAAATTCAGATCTCTGCTGCATAAACTACAATCAGGGACAACCGGGGAATTCAGATTCAATTATATATAAGAGCATAAGTCCCCCCCAAACACTGAGGGACGTAGAAGTGACTCAGGAATTAGGGTAGTGGCGGGAGAGAGAGTGCCGACTCGGGGAAGGGTTTGGAGCTCTACAGCCATAATCCAGACGAGAGAGAATGAGCAAAGAACCAAGAGGAAGAGGAGCTGAGTGCATGCATCTCGTATGACTCCAGAAGAGACAAAGACACACCTACATGTCCCGCAGGTACACCAAACACAAAGGGAAGGGAAGGTCCACTTCACTCTCAAGCCCACGGTGCTGACCCTCTGCAGTCTTCCTTTTGTCTCTTGCCTGAACACCTGTGGGTGCTCCTCTCCCTTCCCCTCTGCCCTGATTACAATGAGGCGCCTTCTCCTGGTTGGAGGGTGGGAGCGGGGAGCAACCATCTGGATTATCTTCTCTGCCTGGAGCTCTCTTCAACTCATCAGCTTTTTCATAATCTCATCTGAAAACATATCCTTTTTCATTTGTCTCTTAATTTCTCCCTCCTCCACAAATGTCTTTCTCTCCCTTCCTCTCTCTTTCTCTCTCTCCCCTGATTATTGTTGCTTTATAGAACACTGGGGGATAGATTGCCTGATAAAACATGCCTTGTAAACGCATATGGCCCTGGCTCTGAACTGTCCAGATCTACACCAGCTGTGTGACTTCACAGGTCCAGCTGTTCACTAGCGCACAACCCAGCAGCCTCATGATGTAGGTACCGGCTTAAGAGCTACTCTGTTCATGTCAGGAGCGTCTAGTGCGTGGTTAACCTTGGATCACCGTGATTACTCAGCCCACAGCCCTGGTAGATCACTCAAACCGAGCTTCCTGGCCAGGCAAGCAGGGCCACTGCTCCAGCCCAAGGGGTGGGGGCGGGGTGGCAATAATTCCAGGCCACCGGGAGGGGCCTGACATCGGCATCCCCGGGGTGTTTCATAAGCCCCGACAGCTCCTCAGCGCGGTGTTAGGACAAGTGGGGGCTCCTCTCACTTTACCACCCCGTTGCCTTCCCTGGAAGGGATCACTCTTCCTGCTTCGAGTCTTGTCCCAGACAAAGGAGCGGGGAATGACTGCACGTACCAAGAAAGGTCAAGTCTGGCCTGAAAGAAAAGGTGCACCTACGGCCTCATTTCGCAAGAGCCCTTTGCAGTTCCTTTGAATTAGTTTGTTTTGTGTTGCCCTCAGGTGGGGAGAGCCCAGGATCACTCTGTCAACAGCTCTATCTATAGCAGGAGCCCCTGCAGGCCCAGCCCTCACCCCAGCCTCTCCGCTGGCCTGGCGCTCGCTGACCCTGAGGCTCAGCTGTGGGAATCAATCATCTCCTTCCAGAACTCATCCTTCAGCAGCTGCACGGCCTCGGCTATTTTTACCACCCCAGGAAGCCGGTGGCCAAGGACGTGCTGGGCCACCTTTGCGGGAGGTGTTGCTGTAGAAGGCTGCCGGTTGTCAGGGCAGCTGAGCTTCTGCCTCAAGGTTAAATCCAAAGTGCCTGACCTGGAACAGTAGAGCACTTGATCTTCTTCCCCTCCGCGGCAGTGAAAGCACCCCAGAGGCTTAGGCTGGGGAAGCAGGTGGCCTGAGGAGGGACAGAGCCCAGGGACACCATGGAAGGGCTGGGGTTGGGGGGCAGGGAGGAAAGGAGGGCAGACAAGGGTGTGCATGTGCCCGGGTTTCTCTTACCCAAACAGGGAGATCGGAAATCAGAGCATCTCGGGCAGCTGGCCTCAAGCACTGCTGTGTTCTAGCCCAGGGACACCCATCCTGCTGCCTCCCCATCACCAGCTGACACTTCCAGGACTCTCTCTATGTGCTGGGCCTGGACAGGGCCTGGGGCTCCAGGGTCTGCCCCAGAGTCGTCCAGAGACCAGAGAGGCCAAATCAAACCGAACATCACCCAACCCATGAGGGCCCCTCGCTCCCCCGTCTGCCCATCACCCCAGTTCCTTTGCCCAGCCTGAGTTTATAACTATCTTCCTGCTTTGTTCTCAAGGGAGGAATCTGTGCAGTGTAAGAGCAGGGGATGCAAAGCATTTCATATTTGTAAACGTTCATCCGATACCCTAAACAAGCTCCTTCAGCACAATCCTGTGAGGTAAGTCAGTACTTTTAGTCTGTTTAAAAATAGTCTGATCAGCCAGAGTCTCAGCTGCTTGGGCACATGTGTGCTTTGCTTGCAAAGTGGGAAAAGCAGAACTCACTAACATCCTGACAGAGCGAAGGGTGGTCGCCTCACATTCCCTAGATGTCTTCCATCTCTGAAAAGGAAAGAAGGGGGTCTGGAAAGGAGAGCTCTGACGTTCTGTGTGTGCCCTCCTGAGGCCTTCAGGAAGGGAGAAAGCAGAGCCCATGAAATGCTCTACTGAAGGGATGGAATGGTGGAAAAGCTGATGCTCTGATCCCTTCCAGGCTCCAATGAGGGAGACAGAAACAAGTGAGGTGGGACCACAGGCCTGGTGCCCCACTGAATGGGGAAGAAGGCCGGTTCCCCTAAGCTACCCTGGTCTGCTGTAGAATAGCTGGGAGGAGTGGCTGAGGGCAGCATATCCAAGACGGAATAAGAGATACCCTAGGGAATGTTACATCTCGAAGAGCAGGAGGCAGGGGGTGAGGGAGGACCTGTGTGGATTACACAAGTCCATGGGCATCCGTGCCTGGGTGGGGCAGCAGGACCAGAGGTCCTGAGAAGTTTGTAGACTACCCCAGGGCTCCGAAGCCCAGCCAGGCCAAGAACTCCCTCAGCGCCCTGGGCTCTCTGTGGCTGTAACTGACCAGATACTTTCCTGCGCTGAAAGAGTCTCCCACAGCCAATGCCAAATTAGCAAATCGTTTAAAGAATAAAGTCACTTGACACGCTCATGTACAGCGGTGTGCAAACTGACATAAGCTTTCTGGAGGACAATTCGGCAACTACTATCGGACCTTAAAAATATTCACGCCCCTTAAGCTAATCATTTCTGCTTTATAAATTTCCCGAAAACAAAGAATGCCCAACAATAGGAGAAAAGTGAAATGAACAACAAAGCATCTATTTAATAATGATACATACTAATGATATGGGAAAGTGCTAAAAATGTAATACTTGATTTAAAAAGGCAGAATGAAGACTAGAGAGAGTATGATCTCACCATTTTTTATTATTATAACAGTGGCTATAAGATTAGAAAGGTCCCTGTTTAAGGAGATTCCTTCATAAGCCACGTATATTAGAAGGGAGACCTTGAAGGTTGGGTACTGAACACATGCAAAGTAGCAGAAGAGCTCTGGGGGGCTATGGTGATGACCATGGGGAGAAAGGGGCATGGAACCAAAGGAGGAGCAAGGAGCTGGGGGCATGATTCTGAGACTTCCCAGAGTAAAACAGCCAGAGATAGTCCACATTGGGGGAGCTGCTTACGAGGCACAAAGATGCCTGGTGTTCCATCTAAAGGTGCCATGGTGGCTGCCATCGACACCTCAACTCTGTACCCACCTGAAATTTTCAGGAAAGTCCACTTCATCAGTAAATGCCTCGTGTGAGTAGACATTTGGGGAAGAAATCCAGAGAAAGACTTAATACCCATCTAAGTTTATGAAATGCAGAACAACACAATTAAAATGGCTGTAGAAATAGATGCTTGTGGGCAGAGTTAATCCAGAGGACATAAGACTCACTGGGATTTCCAGAAACACTGGGGAGGACTTTGGACTTCCGGAGTAAATGCCACAGGGCTGAGCCTCTCCGGAGTACAAGATGCTGGGGAATCTTGCTAATATCACACGTGCATGTATACACACACACACGCGCACACACGCATGCACGCACGCTCGCACGCACATGCACAGAGCACTGAAAGAAGCAATACCAAGATTTCTACAATGGTTACTTGGGTAGTGGGTCTATGATGATATTTATTTTCCTCTTTATACAGCTTAGAAATTTCCACCTCAAATAATAAACAGACTTTTTATATTTTTCAAAAAAACAACAAATACAAATAAAAAGCACAGCCATTCCATGTGGCGTCTGGAGTGTCTGTGTTTGTCTATGTGTGGATGAGAAGCCTGGTGGGCCCAGATCCCACCATCTATGCTGACTCTTCATGTAACCTGGTGCAGCACTGGGGGCCAGGGGCCCTGCCCACACACAGACCACATGAAACCCCCAAGCTGGAGCTCTGGGACATTCTGGTCTCTCCTGCAGCCTAGAGGGTCCTACAGCTCACAGTGGGTCTGTGAACGGGAACCTATTTGCCTGCAAACTGAGGCACAATTACATTTGGAAAAATATAATCAACCACTGTCTCCTGGTTTCTCTGCCTTCCATTGATCTCTGTTTAGGTGTGTCTTCTAAAAGCTTGCAAGTAAAATATCATTCCACACTGATTTTCATCTTCAAATATCTTTCCTCTCCTTATGATAGAGCAGAAGCTGACACTGCTGGATTTGTTCTCTTTTCTCTGTTCTTTCATTGAAGAGAAATTCTGCACATAGTCAAGAGAGACGAAAAGAAAACCAACCCCCTTCACAGAACTAGAACAAATAATACTAAAATTTGTATGGAACCACAAAAACCCTGAATACTCAAAGCAATCTTGAGAAAGAAGAACAAAGCTTGTATCACAATCCCCGAGTTCAAGATCTACGACAAAGCTACAGTAATCAAAATAGTAAGGTACTAGCACAAAAATAGACACACAGATCAGTGGAACAGAATAGAGAGCCCAGAAATAAGCTCATGCTTATGTGGTCAATGTACAACAAAGGAGGCAAGCATATACAATGTGAGAAAGAATGGTCTCTTCAATAAATGGTGTTGGGGAAACAGGAAAGCTACATGCAAAAAAATGAAACTGGACCAGTTTCTTACACCATACACAAAAATAAACTCAAAATAGATTAAAGACCTAAATGTGAGACCTGAAATCATAAAACTTCTGGAAGAAAACAGGCAGTCATTTGACACGGGCCTTCGCAACATTTTTCTAGATAACGTCTCCACAAGCAAGGGAAACAAAAGCAAAAATAGACTATTGAGACTGCACTAAAATGAAAGGCTTTTGCACAGCAAAGGAAACCATCAACAAAATTAAAAGGCAACCCACTGAAAGAAAAAAGATTTTTGTAAATGACATAGCTAATAAACAGTTAAATCCAAAATACATAAAGTACTTACACGACTCAACACCAAAAAACACAAACAATCCAATTAAAAAACGGGCAGAAGACATAGACGTTATTCTGAAGAAGACATGGAGATGGCAAATAGACACATGAAAAGATGCTCAGCATCCCTCATCATGAAGGAAATGCAAATCAAACCACAATGAGATATGACCTTACAACTGTCAGAATGGCTAGAATCAAAAAAGACAGAAAACACCAAGTGTTGGTGAGGATGTGGAGAAAAAAGAATCCTGGTGTACTGTTAGAGAGAATATAAATTGGTACAGCCACTGTGGAAAACAGTATGGAGATTCCTCAAAATGTTAAAAATAGAAATGCCATATGATCCAATAATTCCACTACTGGGTATTTACCCAAAGAAAATGAAAACACTAATTTGAAAAGATATATGCACCCTTATGTTTATTGTAGCATTATTTATAATAGCCAAGATATGGAAGCAACCCAAGGGTCCATTGATAGATGAATGGATAAATAAGATGTGGGGGGTGTGTATGTATACATACATATACACACAATGGAATATTAGTCAACCATAAAAAAGAGTGAGATCATGGGGCGCCTGGGTGGCTCAGTTGGTTCAGCATTTGCCTTTGGCTCAGGTCATGATCCCAGGGTCCTGGGTTCAAGTCCTGAATCAGACTCCCTGCTCAGCGGGGAGTCTGCTTCTCCCTCTGCCTGCTGCTCCCCCTGCTTGTGCTTGCTCTCTCTCTCTCATACAAATAAATAAAATCTTTTAAAAAAATGAGATCTTACCATTTGTGACAACATATATGGACCTAGAAGGTATTATGCCAGGTGAAATAAGTCAGGAAACGACAAATACCATATGATTATATGTAGAATCTAAAAAACAAAACAAGGGGGGCCTGGGCTCAGTTGTTAAGCATCTGCCTTCGACTCAGGTCATGATCCCAGGGTCCTGGGATCGAGCCCCGCATCAGGCGCCCTGCTCAGCGAGGAGCCTGCTCCTCCCTCTCCCACTCCCCCTGCTTGTGTTCCCTCTCTCGCTTTGTCTCTCTCTGTCAAATAAATAAATAAAATCTTAAAAAAATAAAAAACAAAACAAATGAATCAACAAAAAGCAGAGTCAGACCCATAAGTAAAGAGAACAAACTGATGGTGGCCAGAGGGGAAGGGGATGGGGATGGGGAAAATGGGTGAAGGGGAGTGGGAGATACAGATTTGCAGTTATGGAATGAATAAGTGATGGGGATGAAAGGTACAACATAAGGAATACAGTCAGTGGTGTTGTAATAGTGCTGTATGGTCACGGAGGGTGGTGAGCACAGCATAATGTATCGACTTCTGGAATTATTATGCTGTACACCTGAAGCTAATGTAACACTATGTGTCAACTATCCTTCCATTAAAAAAAAAAAAAGACAACCAACCCATATGCCCATTGCACCTTCGGGTGGACAAGGCAAATATTTCTGTCTTGGATGATAATCTATGCTTTCACACTTGGAACTTTTCTGTACCATTGCCTTTGTGGAGATCTGAAAATGCTTCACCGCCCAACCACTAATTCTCAAACCATTTTGAGAAAAAAAGAGAGGAAACTAGGAAAAATTACTCTCAATGTCCTTTTTCTGGAGAGTGTCCTCAAATGTTTTTGCCTGTGGCCAACTTAGGCTTGGCAGAAGTCCCCACAGCCTATGTCCCTCTGCCTGTTTCCTCCTTCCAGAAGAAAATTTAAAAAAACCCAGTGGAAAAAAAAAATCAGAGGAACAAGAATTTTTTATTCACTTTATAAAAACATTACAAACATATACACATGATTTTATACTGAATTTCTAATATATATAATACCTATTTCTCATGTGTATATATTTTATAAAAACTTAAATATTTTTACATAGCATTATATTTTATAACATGAAACAATGCTTTCTTCAAAAGTTTAGTAATGCTGAATGATTCTTAGTAGGCTTCAAATAAATAACCTTTGGGAGAAATTGGCATTTTGGGTTTCATAACCCTCTCTCAGCCCTTCCATTAGCCTTGGACCATAACTCAAGAGCCATTTTTTTCCTGGGGACAACAATGTAGGCATTTTGAGCATAGACCCTTTTTGTTAGGAAATGAAGCCTAAGTGTAGTGGTAGGAAACAGACATTCTAATCACAAGTTTTCTCTTCAAATCCTCGGAGGCAATGATCTCTTTCCAGACCCTCCCGTGCTTTTTCCCAACCAAAGATCTTGAAGTAGTGGAGTGAAAAGCAGTAGAGACACCTGAACAGTGAAAACAGAAAGCTTGCCAACTTCTTCCTCACATGCCCACGATTTCCTTCCTGGGGTTTTTTAGTTAGGATCTTGAGCACTCAGAAAATAGGCACAGAGAAACAGAAGAGTGGAGTTTCAATAAAGACCAAGCCATGTTTACTACACGGTCTGAGTAGAGAAAAAAAGACAAGACAAATAAACAGGTGCAGCCTCCAGGGCCACCTCCCATCACAACAAAGGCCAATGTCAGGGAACAATCAGCCATCTTAATCCTTGACTGATTAAAATTGATCACCACAATCCAGGGACACACACATACTACAGTGAAGGAAGCTGCATAAGATCTTCAATCCCCAAGGGTCTGGCAAAGTTCAACTTCCCTTCCTTGCTTTTCTTCTAGAATTCAGTTTGCACATTTCTCTTGGATTCAGTGAAATCCCAGTCTTCTAAGAGATAAGTTTCAGAGAGGGCTCCCTAACCATTGTTAATTATAAAATAAACCCCAGTGGAGAAGAACTCCTTTCTTTCCCACTTTCCTAAAATTTGGGAGTTACTTAACACTAGATTCTATCATCTATAATGTAAGACTCAGAGCTGCATTAGCCCTCTCTCTGTTTTTACAGATAAGGGCCCTATGGCTCAGGGAAGTTGAGAAACGAGGGATACACAGCTAACAAGAGGCAGAGACAAGCCAGCATCTGGGTCCGGCTCCAGGGCCTGGACTCACCCTTCTGCTGGGTGGCTGCCCCCAGCTGGATCATCAAGCGCAGTCTGTGGATATCCTTGGGGACATGAAAAGGAGGGTGGCAAAGCCAGAGGTGGAGGGTTGGAGGAAGCAGTGGGATTGAGAAGACCATGAGCCATCATAAAAGAGGGTGTTCAGTCAGCAAGTAAATGACAGACATGCTCCATGGTTCCATCCCTATGCCCTGGGGAGGGCACCAAGGCACCAGAAGAGATGGACCCTTAGCCACAGTAGCATGGCCCCCCAAGTGAGGTCAGAGGGCAGATAAAGGGGCAGTAACTTTTGGGATGAGCAGGGAGAATCTTAGGACTCAGCTCTGGGAGTAGGGCCGTCCTGGTGGAGGGCACGTGTCCCAGTAAGGAAACGCATGAGGACAGGGCGACTGCTGGGCATTCTATGGAGAGTAGGGCTCACAGAGGATCGAAGGCTGTTCACCGTAACCATTTAGGCATCAGGTGACCCTTGTGTCCAGGCTAGGCACAGGTATCTCTCCTTGAGTGAAAAAAAATGACCTGCAGGTTGACTTCCAGGGCTGGTTTTATTTGTACTGCAAAAGTATAAATATCAGAAAAATTGGAAGATACAAAATTAAATAAAGGCAATGAGCCTCTGATGCAATTCAACACACCAAGGACATGACTCAATGCAAGGTCAACTGCCTCTCCCTCCCAGGCATTCAGTCCCCGAAACAGCTCAGTCAGGCTACGCTTAGCCCCCCGCCCCTCACACATCTCCGGGGTGCTCCGCCGTGCGCGATGCTGCCCATCCCCGTCCTGGCACGCATCCTCCAGAGGCCTGTCCTGGCCCCTCAGAAGTGTCCTGGCACAGAACATGGCCTTTCCCGAGTTGGTATCATTCTGCTTTTGACGTCTTCCATTGCAGCTAAATATCTAGCTCTGTGAAATGAAAAGATAGGGTGATTCTCTCCTCACTTTCTGTATTCTGTAAGGAGTGGCCATTGTCCTCATGCTCTGGAAACCTCTGTGAACTGGATCTGGTCTTGCCCACACGCAAATGGAAATGCCTAGATGGAACTAAGACCGACGGAAAGGGTTTGGCCAAGTCCCAAAGAAAAGAAAATGATTCGACCCTAAGGAGGCAGACAGTCCTGATTCCGGGCACACGAGGTAAACGCGAATGGAAATCCAACTGTTGCAGAGAGTGATTGCTCAGATGGAGCAAATGTGCTGTGAAATCAGCCCTTGGAAAATCATCTGGAGTTCATCTTAGTGAAATCCAAAAACAATAACGGACTCCCCAGCCACCCCAGAGGGAGCCTCAGGAGCTCCCCTCGTCAGAAGCCCGGAAAGCCGCGGCGGGAGCCAGGCCCTGGGTCTCCGACTCTGCCCTTGTTTATTTACAAACCTGCTTTCCTTTCCCACCTCAGGTCATCCCTCGGCTTTGCCCCCTGGGTAGCCCAGGGCATCCATCATGCCCCTCACCGGGCAGGCGCAGAGGCACACATGAAAAAGACCGTTAACTCGGCGGCTGCCTCCCCAGCCCCGGCCCGGCAGAGGGGTCCTGCTCACGGGGCCGGGGAGGGGGCGGGCAGACCAGAGACTTTGCTCTGGGCCATCGCAACAAAAGTCAGAGGGGAGGGGAATCCGAAGGCAGTCCCTGAGGTCCCCTAGAAAAGAGAATGCCCCTTTCGGTTGGGCTTTGCCTGTTGCGGTACACATTCTAAAACGTCCCAGAAGCAGCTCTGGTCCCTCCGGTATTTCACTCTTGCAAAGAAGGGGCCCGAGCTCATCCTGAGCCCAGAGGCACCAGGAGTCAGCCTGGGGAAGTGTGCATCCCCAGCAGCCAGGAGGGCAAGGGGGCATCTCAGTGCAAGGACTGGGACTGCTCCCACACAGGAGGTTGGAGCTCTGAGGAATTCAGGGATTTGTTGTCTTGTGATGGGCAGGTTTTGGCTATCACAACAGATTGAGTGAAATGGGTGACCTTCCGGAAGACTGATGGCTCCTGTCCCCAAACCTCACATCTGCCTTTGACACCCTCCCAGAGCCTGGAGCCAGCCCACTCTGGGTCTGTGATCTCACTTGGAAAATTCAGATGGTCGGGCTGAAGCAAAGACGTTGGAGGGAGTCATGGGAAGGACTGGGAGAATGTTTGTAAGCTGCTTAGCAGATGAAAGTGACAACGTGTCAAATTTTCCAAGCTGGTTTCCAAAGCATTCTATTAATGGGTCTTCCAGAAGCCCATCTCTTAACAACCTGAAAGAGGTTTGGGTCCCCACTTTTTCTGCCACAACATATAAGATGATGACATTCGTATAAGCAATACACTCCCACGGCCCCTCCCACACCGGTGCCCAATTCCCAGCATGTTGGCCAGCCTCCACCTTTCCCCTCCCACCCACGACGGCGCATCAGGATAAAAGTGGGTAGAAGGGCATTGTAATGGAGGTAACCTAGAAACCACTCTAGTTGCAAAAAATAAATTAGTGAACAAATCATTCACACATTTTACTAGAAGGGACAAATGACTGTTGTCTAAGTGTAGTCTTGTTGGGACGATGGTTGAAAAGGAGAGCTGGAGGGGCACCTGGATGGCTCAGTTGGTTAAGCATCCAACTCTTGGTTTCAGCTCAGGTCATGATCTCAGGTCCTGAGATCCAGCCCCGTGTCGGGCTCCACACTCAGGGAGTCTGGTTAAGATTCTCTCTCTCCTTCCTCTGCCCCTCCCCTTGCTTGTGCATGCTCAAATAAATAAATCTTTAAAAAAAAAAGAGAGAGAGAGAGCTGGAGCAGCGTGGAGCTCCCTGAGGGTGTTTGACCCCTGGCCAACAGGCCTGGCTGCCCTAGTCTCAGGGTCTGGTGTTGGGGACTTGCCATTGTTCCAGGATAGCATCTGCAGCCTTTCAGAAGTGGTGGCCCCAGGGCTGGTGTTGTCCACTATGCAAATATTGTAGCATTTTGCACCCCCATTGTTGCAGTCTGAGGACTTCTGTGTCTGGCAGGTAACTGAAGTGTAATCACATCGTCAAGATGATCATGTGATCTTGTGACCCAAAAGAAGAGACTGGACTCCTGGGCCACTGAGGAGAGATGAAGCTGAGGAAGGTGGGCTGGCAGGGAGGCCTTAGAAGAAAATGCGGGGATGTCTGCGAGAATTCCCAAGGTATGGGGTGAAGGATTCTTTCAGCATTTAGAATCTGCTTTCTTTGTGCCATACCTTGGGCCTCCGGCCAGCTAATACCTTCTTTCTTTTTCCTTCCTACCTCCAATAAAGAATGCAGCTGAAAATATGTATTTCAGAGCTTCAAATCAAACCAGTGGCTTGCCACACCAGATAGCACTGAGCCCTGCTCCTCACACAGTAGCCAGAGATCCTTGGATGAACTAGCACTTAGGAGGCCACTGCTGGCCTATGGGCGGGTCAGAGTTCTTTCAAGCTAATTGGGTATTTAGATGTGCTTGAAACCAGAATAGACATTCCATAGAAAGTCTGTGTGTCCCTCTCTTTTAAACATCCCTCGGGTCCTCTGAGTCATGGCATCTCTGCATCAAATAAACAACTGGGAGCTACGGGCTTCAGCAAGGACCGTAAAGTGGCTCGTCCCTTTTCATGCTCGAAGTCCCTTGTCCCTATGGTTTGACAAGAGATACTGAGTTGACGATGGTGATGCAAAGCCTCAGCTTGTCTAATCTGCAGCATCTGGGGCCTGGCCCTCACTTACTGACCTTGGGCAAAAACGTCAATGTTTTAATTGCGTGTCCTTCTCATTCATTCCACAGACATTCAAGTGTCATGCACAGTACAGACCCAGTCACGCTTTCACGGAGCTGCTCTTCTGGTAGAGACAGACAGACAAATGCAGACACATCCGATGTGCTCCAGGACGGTCAGGAGTTTCATCCATTTGTCTCTCCAGACCCTACAAGAACACCTGGCACATAATAAGCGCTCAGTAAATGAGCATGTTAATAACCACGGAAAAGGCGCCCGAGCTCTAAGTGTTACGGCCAGAATGCGAGTGTGCGGAGACAGAGGGGGGCCCAGAGGCATGGCCTGCGTGGTGGGGCAGCTGGGAGGGCCGGCCCGCAACTCACTTCGTGCACACGTGACCCACACGCCAGGAGTGGATTCATTTGCTGGAGCTGCTCTAGCAAGGGTAGAGACCCGGCGTCCTAAGTGGCAGAAATTGTGTATTTCACAGTTCCAGAGGCCAGACGTGGGCCGGGGTGCCTCTTTCTGAGGGCTGTGAGGGGAGATCTGTCCCAGGCCCCTCTCCTTGGTGTGCAGATGGTCAGCTGCTCCTAGGTCTCACACCCTCTTCCCTCCATACGTGTCTGTGTCCAAGTTTCTCCTTCTTATAAGGACACCAGTCATGCCCGCCCCCCACCCAACGTTACTGTAACTTGATAACCTTCGTAAAGATCCTGCCTCCAAATAAGGTCACGCTCTGAGGTACTGGGGGTTAGGACTTCAACATATGAAATTCAGAGTGGACACAATTCAACCTCAAGGTAAGTGTTTCATAAACGTTAGCTGTTAGTAAATTCAAAACCAGGGGAAAAGTAGAAACAAAAGCAAAACAAAACCATTAAATAATAAAGTTGGATGTTTGTTTCATTAGCTCAAAACCTTCCAGTAGCTCAATGCAACCCAAGAGATGAAGGCCAAGTCCCTCAGCCCGGTGGTCAAGGACTCCCATGATCAGCCTTCCCTCCCTGGTGCCCGGGCTCGGACCGCGCTCCCCGGAAAGCCCTCTCTTCTCGTCCCGGCGCATCCAGCTTCAGCCGCCGCTCAGAAGCCCAGCTGCAGGCTCTGCTCCTTCGAGGGTTATTTCCTAGGATGGTTCACTAGTCTGCGTCCCAGCACACTCAAGGGAACTCTGAAGAATAAAGGGAGGACTACTTTCAGAGGAAGGGGGAGGCTAAGGGAAAGCAAAAAGGGACCCAGAGACCCAGCGGCAGCAGGAAGCCACACATCCTGCGCTCCCCAGGAGCTGTGGCTTTAGAGGAACCAGCCAAACCAGAATCCTAACAAGACAGGGAGGAAGGGGGGGGCACCTCACAGGCCTCCCTTTCCTTCTGCCCTCCTGTCTCCTACCTGTGGCTCCACGGGCAAAGCCCACCTAGAAGATGGGGGCAAGGGGCCGGTCAATGTGGTCTACGGAGGTCTCTCCCAGGGCACCCAGCAGGGAACAGAGAGTCTCTGAGCCTGAGTCCAGGGCAGACAGAATAATCAGCACACACCCTGTCTCTCTTGCCCTCCTTGGATCCCACAGGGCATTTTTCATCTGGACCATGTACGTGACCTGTAGCCAAACCAAGCGCCCCTGGCTGGTGATCTCACTTTCCCAGTGTGTGGCTGTCGCTATGGCTGGAGGATAAGCCCCAAAGCAGAGAGCGTGTCAGACGCTTCCTCTGCGCCCACCCCCCCGTGGTGCTGAGTACAAAGCTGGGCTTGTAGTACGTGCTTAGTAAATCAGAGCTGAACTCAAGCTGGGTTGTAGAGATGAAGTGTGGGTGGGATCCACACAAATACATATTGAAAAATCACCGGCTCTGGAAGAACAATTGTCAGGCCCATTTCCTGCTGCAGACGGAGCCAGGAGACGCTCGGGGCTTGGCAACCTGACAGCTGAGGAGCAGCCAGGGAATTTAGCAGGAGACAGAGAAAATGAGCCCTGTGGGTCTGGCCCAGCCCCATCAAAAGCAGACTTAGGGCAAAATCTCTCTTCCCAGATTCAGGGGCCAAGGTGGGGTGGGCGCTGGCTCTGTTTGCACAGGTCTGCCTCGAGCCAGAGTGTGGGGGAATTAGGGAGGAGGCAGCATCGATCTGGAAGCCGATGGCTCAGCCTGAGGCCAGGCAGAGCTCGAAGGCACAGAAACGGTCACCTGAAGGGAGAGCACAGATGTGGTAATTGTGGCATCTGCCATACCCCAGCCCCTCCTCTGGTAGGAACGGTCTGCCCTTGAGCTAGGCTGGGTTGGGGCGAGGGTTGGCCATTGAATGGACCTACAGTGGGCACCTGCCTCCATGACAACCTGTCCATAGGCTAGTCATTGACATATTCGATGGACACTGTGGTCCTCACCTCAAAATCCTCTCTACCTCAGAGGACCTGGTCATTTCATTTCCCTTTCCAAGGAATGCACATGTGACTCAGTTCTAGCCAGTGAAATTTATAGGAAAGTCTGCTTGGGGACTTCTAGGAAAAAGAAAATGACAAAGACAATCTCCCCTATTCCCTGCACGCTGTGTCTCAATGGGATGCTGCCGCCATCTTGCTACTGCCAGGAGTTAAACCAACGCCGAAGCTTCTAGCACAGAGGTGGCAAGGACTTAGTCTATGAGGAGATAACTGAGCCCCTAAAACGGCCATTCTTCACACTCACAATTCCACTACTTCAGTTGTGTGAGGTAGTAAATGCCATTATTTAAGTCTGCTTCACTGGGGTTTCTGTTACTTACAGCCCAGAGCACCCTATTTGATATGACCTGAAAGACAATCAGCTAAGCTGGGTAGACAATCCCCCTCCAGGACGTGAGCAGGACAAGCAGCCCACCAATGGTTCGGGAACTGGTTTAACTGGTACACAAACTTTTAGTAGTTATGTATTTATCATCTATTCATTTAAACCTATAAGTAGAATATCAAACCTGTGACACCAGGTTTCTTTTAAAAATAAATTTTCTTGGGGTGCTGGGGTGGCTCAGTTGGTTAAGCTTCCGACTCTTGATTTGGGCTCAGGTCATGATCTCAGGGTCATGAGATCGAGCCCCTGTGGGGCCCAGTGCTGGGCATGAAGCCTGCTTAAGATTCTCTCTCCCCCTCTCCCTCTCCCCCCCCAACCACCCTCCACTCTCCCACCTCATGCGCATGCATTCTCTCTAAAATATAATAATAATAATAATAATAATAAATTTGCTTGTACACAATGTGAATTATTTTAAAGGAGAACATTCAGTAAAGTACAAACGGTACAAAGTGTAATATGGTATACAGAATGCAACTCTGAAATGTTGGTAAATTAGATCAGAGGCTGCTGAGGAATTAGCCAGTAAAGAGAGAGGGGAGCAGAAACACCAAGAGGGGGAGACATTCAGCTCAACAACTACCAGCTAAGTACCTTCACGTGCCATGCCTGGGTCGAGGTTGGGGATGCAGCAGAGAACAAGACTATTGTCTGTCCCGCTGCCTGCAGTCTAACGTGGAGGCAGACATCGAATCGACTAGGTAACTTCACAATACACCATCTCGTCCCCGTACCAGGAAATTCCATAAGAGACAAAGCAGTGTTAGGAGTGTGTATAACAGAAACACCTGACTTCACCTGGAGGGAACAGAAAGGCCAGAGAGAGAGAGATGGGGAAAGGAAAAACTCCCTGAAGTTGCTGCTCCTATTGGCCCACTTAAGCTCAGGGCCGTGAGCATCCTTAAAATAAACCTTCGCTTTAGGAGGCTGTTAGGGGCTGAACTGCATCCCCTCAAAAATTCATACATTGATGTCCTAAGCCCCAGTACTTCAGAATGTGACTGTATTTGGAGAGAAGATTTTTAAGAGATATTAAATTAAAATGAGCTCATTAGCAAGGGCCCTAGTCTAATATGACTGGTGTCCTAATAAGGAGGAGAAATTTGGGCCCAGAAACATGCATAGAGAGAAGATGGTGTGAAGACAGCCCCCAACAAGCCAGGGAGAAAGGCCTGGGACACATCCTTCCCTCATGGAGCTCAGCAGGAAGCACCCTGCCGACGCCTTGATTTTGGACTTCCAGACTCCAAATCTGTGAGACAATGAATGTCTGCTGCTTAAGCCCCCTAGTCTGTGGTACTTGGTTACATCAGCCCTCGGAAACTAATACAGAGGCCTAAGTGGGTTTTTGTCCCTCACAGTAAAAACAGCCCAAGTGACCCTGAGAGCACACAGACCTGAGTTTGGGAAGAGAAGATCCTGGCCAGGGAGGACTTCACAGGGCAGGACGCTCTGTGTCTGGTAGGCCTCGGGGTCTTCCTCCATCCTCCCCTCTCCCCCAAAAGGGAAATCTGGAACAGACACCCGTCTTCCCTCCTGGATGGGGAGGGAGCTGGTAAGAAGAACCCCTGCCAGGGGTTATGGGCTCCCTGGCCATAACCTTGGATCACTTATAACAGTCCTGCAGGGACAACGGGGTTTACTGCCAGGAAGAGAAACCCCAGGAAGCCAGCCTTTCTGCTTCTTGGGGTAGTGGGGTGGAGTGAGATTCTCCAGCCATGACTCATGCAAGGTTTCATGGGGAAGGGAAGTTAAGAGAGTCATAATGACCATACTGAAAAGCAGTTAAGCCCATTTTCATGGCAGCATTACACAGAATTAAAAACGGGACGATTTGGTCCTATTTTGCGACCACAGCTGCCATGAACTAATGCACAAGCAAACTGGACGGGGTAAGCTTCATGCTGGGACTCAGGCTGGGCACACGGGCCTGTATCCAGGGGAGGGGGCTTTTGAGCGTCAGCAGAAAACACCCTCACCCTTCCATTCCCTTCCTATTCCTCAGACTCCTCGAGATCACATGGCTATCTACCCGTTGGGAGGGGACACCATGAGAGCTGGCCGGGGCCTTGGCGGGCCAGACTTCAGAGACTCACTGTTGTCCTGGTAAGAAGAACCCCCCCCCTCCCCGTCCCTGGGGCTGCTAGGAAGGTGAAGAATTTGTAGCCATGCCTAGCCTAGAGCTGGCTAGAGTTTCCAGTTTTCCTGTCCCTGAGTTTCTTGAGCAACACCTCCCACAGCAGTGAGACTTGGGCAGACAGCACTGAGGAAATCCTGGAGAAGTGGGGGGCCCAGCAGGGAGAAAAACGGGCTCTTTCACAGAGGACAGGAGACTGACAGGTGCTAAGTGGGGGCGTGCGGGGCTTAGCCAGAGCTGTGCCACACACCGAGACTCAGAAGCCAGCTCTGGGAGCTGGGCAGTCAGTACTTTCCGACCAGCTGGTTGGCATCGGTGCTTCCATCTGTCTGCCGGCATTTATTGAGTGCCGAGTGTTTACAAAGTGCAATGCTAACAGCAGAGGCAAACTTAATAGTAAATAGGAGATTACACTTTGATGTCCCGGTCTTTGGACTTGGTCTGGATCCGAGCCCTATTTGCTTTGTGCTCACCTAGCTTCCAAAGTCAACCAACCAGCATTTGCTTCGTGCCCTGCTGGGGGCCATACAAGGATTTTTTCGGCCTAAGTGAAGGACACACGTGCCTGTGAGCAAGCACTAACAGCACAGGCCTTGTGGGGGAGGGCCCCGGACTTTCAAGAGCAAAGGAGAAGCTGCTCACTCGCTTCCTCACGCCACCTGTGATGGCAGCAGGAGGAAACGTTCTTAGAAGCAAGAACAATGAAAGAGACTATATTCTCCCAGCACCCCCCAAACCGCACCCCTGTCCCAGATGGGGAAGGAAGTGCCAAAGGAGCTTTCTTCCCCCCACCCTAAAAAATTTTTGCCAATAATTGCTAGAACTATTTGTTGCGGGTCTGCTATGTGTCTGGCGCTGTGCAGTTATTCTAGTTTCCACACTTGTGCATTGCAGGTGGCATCTCCCCATTTCACAGACACAAAAGTACAATGAAAAGATCAAATCGTGGCCCAAGGCACACAGCAGGGTTGAATGCAGAATCTGATGACAAAGGTTTCCTCCCAGCCCGCCTTGAAATTGCTCAATGTTTCCATAATCAGTGATTACGATCAATTCAATTTCAAGAATAATAAATTTGGAGTGTGTCTGAAAGGGAGTCAGCAGCTATAAATAAATACTCAAGGATATTTCTCTTGAGCAAGCTCCAGTAAATTGTAAGGAGTCACAGTTCTACCTGGAATCCATTTTTCATTCAGGACACAAGTCAGCAGCAGGTCATCTTTCCCCGGGCATCGCAATGCAAGGAGAGTGAGGCCATCAGCACTGTTTCCTTGAGTCCTGCCGTGCAGCGGTGCTTTTCGACCTAAGAAACCACACTGCAGAGCAGGACCAAAAATAGAAATGCAGGTTTTGCACATTTCATTCCTTAATGCTAGCACTTTGACCTTGTCCATAGTGGACTGAGAAGACTGCTATGATTAATCAAACTTTATTGACACTTGATGTGTCCCAAGTTGGCCTGAAATGCCAGGTGCCTCAAAGGTGACAGTTACCTTCAGAGCAGCATTTACGTCACAGTCTAATATTTTAAGCACATTAACCTCCCTCGATGCAGTGAAGGTTTCTAAACTTCAGTGGGCATTTAGAACTAATGTGTTCTCCAAGGCCTGGGCCATGGTCAACCATGGGTTTTAACAATGTTTTGAAATGGGGAGGAGGACTAAGGAGACTTGATATGGCCTTCGTTAACAATAGGTCCATTTAGGTCAATTCCTGACCCGGACGGTCTGGGCTGTCAATCCTAGCAACCAAGGCTGGATTCCCGTAACAGTCACGAACTGGAGGCTGATGAAGCCCCGCTACCGAGGCACAGACAGGTCCGATGGTGGAAACACAAGGCAGAACAGCAAAGCAAACCAAGACCCTCTCCGTCTGGTCCCACTTGGCCCCTACAGGTGTCTGCCTTCCTACTTTTAGGTATTCATCTCCTCTAGTTAATACAGTGCTCCCCAAATGACCGTCACAGCCAGTGGCAAAATAAAGGTAGTTGATTTTTCATAAACCAATTATACTCCATGGCAAGGACTATCCTTTCCACTATTTGTTGTTGTTAAAGTAGGCTTTCTTTTAGGAAGGACTGATGATGTTAGATGATGTTCTCTTTTTTAATGTTCTCACTTAGCAAAATAAGAAGTTAGCCCTTTGCCAGGGGTTGCCAAAATATTTGCAAATTTCACTGGTCTTAGGAACCTCTGCATTAAAACATTCTCAGAAAGCTTGACATGAGGATGCAGGTAGTACGTAAGTCCGGGCAAGTCCCGTGACAATGAGCTTGCGAGTTCCTTTTCCGCCAAAAGGTGGAAGGCTGACTTCCTGAGTTCAGCGGGCACAGGGAGGGCTCGCCCTGGGGGCGGCAAACCCGACGTCAGGCAAACAGACTGTATTTACTTTGTGATTTTGCCAAGGCTCTTCCTAGCTGCCTCTCCACCAAAAAAAGACAAAAATGAATCCCCCAAAGAAAGAGCAGGGGAACTGGGCAGGTTACTGTCTGGAAGGGAAGTGTTATTATGGATGATTTACCAGCCTTCAAAAAAGACAGGCTCTTATCAGGGCATCTCTCATCAGTGTTCTCTAGCTCTCCAAAGACCTAAATATGAGGAAATTGCCTCAAAATGAAGCAAGAACAAGTCTAGTTAGTACTTGATGCTCCCCCAATCTGGAAAGCTCTTCCTCAACCTCCTCCAGCTTCTGAGGTCCAAATTAAACTTCTTCCCGATACTGGTCCCAACTTCCCGAGATGTCCCAAGCCCCCCTTTCCCTGGGCCCCCAACACTCTCCATTCATACTTCTAGTACAGCACTGCTCATTTTTACATAGGCCATTTCCTTCTGATTAGGAAAACAAAGTTAAAATGTTGGAATTTTAATAATAACCTAGGCAAGGCTCACTGCATGCCTGGGCTCCTCTCAGCAGCGTGCAGATATCAACGCATCAATCTTCTCAATAACCCAGCGGCTCAGCAAACCCGGCATCACCCTACTTTCATAGCTAGAACCAGACCCCAGGATCTTCCTGCCTCTGGTGCCTGACCCAGTGCTGGCCACAGTCAGTGCCTACTGAAAGGGGTATGAGTCGCAAGACAGTTGGATTTGCCTATTTTGAGTATTGCCAAACCAAGGAGTATGGGGCTGGTCTGGATAATGTTTGAGAGTTTTCTCCAGTTGTTCAATTGTGGGAACCTCAATTAACTTACACACTCCATAGTCCTATTGAGTTATTTGTGTAAATGCATCGGTACACTCATAATTTACCAATTTATTGATCATTGACTGATAGCTAAGGGTGGGTACATAATTCTATCACCACCTTGGATCTTCTGAAGTTACAAGAGTGTGTACAAATTAGTTATGTGTGTGTGAGTCCCAAAAGGATTAGCAAATTAATACATTATGCCTGTGTCAACACTTCTATTTTTAAACTATTTACTTACTTAACTAACTTTTGGCTTTACTGACAGCTGTTAGTACAGCAAACTGGTGTTTAATGAAGCAAGAAAAATAATAAACCATGTTGATGTTATTTCCCAAATTAGTGCTTTTTAAAAACATCTCTTTGCTGGGAAGGCAAAATGGAGCTGGAGAAGATCCAAAGAAATACAATAATATGGTCAAGAAAATGGAATAATTTCCATGCAGCCAAAAAAAGAAAAAAATGTTCTTTTTCCTGGAAAGATGATGAAAGAAAATGTGATAAAAAGCTATAAAATTGTGAAAGTTTCACAAAGAAGATAAACATGGAGAGTTGTTTCCAAATTCCAAAATAACAGAAACACTTTTTTCTTTCTACCTTGGAGATCAACATAAATGTAGGTACATAAAAAGAAGTATTACTGCTTACACATTGAGAAGGAAGATAAAGAGTAGTACTAACTTTTTACACAGTGACAACTAGTAAAAGATAATTGGCTTAGAGCTGGATGGATTAAGGCATCTTGTAAATTATGAAGAGAAAACAGTATGTGGGAGGAGGGACGTATTTCCTAAGTTGATGAGGCAGACACTGAGGCCAGTAACTATGCCCTCTACCTGTCGTTCCTCAAACCAAATATTATGCTGGATGGACCACGAATCAATGTACCAATATTTGAACTTACACTTCTACCTTTCCTATTGTGTTTGTGTATCAGATGATGAACTTGATTTTTGCTAGTGTGTATGTAAAAACTATCCCCCCCCAAAATTAACCAGTTTCATTATAAAAACAATCATCTCCTAACAAAAGGTCTTATTTTAGTGACAAACGATAGTCCTTCCTAACAGAACTACCAGCAAAGACACTAATTAATGCAGACGCTCTTTGGCTGGTCTTAATGAACATTAGCCCAAGTTCTGTCTTTGGCCACAACACATCACTACCCTTCTTCCTTGTGATCCCAAATCACTGAACTAGTTCAGAAGCAACAGTCATGTAAATGAGCCCTCTGCACATAAACTCGCCCTGGGCTGGGGACATTGAATTCTGGCACCCAAGCCCGGAAGTGCCCACAGGGACAGGTTCTAACACATAAAAGAGGACAATGAAAAGGACTGGGACCCCTTCTTGGGTTCTGGCTCAGGGTGCTGTTGCCATTCCTCTGGCTTCTCTGGATAGAGCCTTCTCTTAGCAGATAATCACATCTCACCTTTTAGAACATGTGATTGAAATTAATGGGTGGCCAGCTTTCCCACGGTTGCTGGATGAGAGTGGCATGTGTCCACAGAGCAGGGACTGTGCTAGCACCTTCTGGTCCAAATACAATCTTGGAGATCTTCGCCTTAAATGGTAATTACTCTGGCAAAGATCCTTTATACCTTGCTCTAAATGTTATCCCTCCAAAGCAGAAAATGACTCTGTGGAAAGTCTTTTGTGTTTAAAAAAAAAAAAAAAAAAGTAGCTTTAGTAAAGGCATAGCAGCTTTGGAATAGAAAATGTATATTTTTACAGGCCATCATGAAACCCACTTGTGTAGCCAATAACTATTTCACATACCCATTCGCCTCCTTCAGAGACCTTCCAGGATTCAAGATCCCAAACCAAATACAGTCTTATGTGTTCCCAAATTATTTTTCCTCAGGGTTAAAGAGAAATTCCCATGAAGACCCACTTTTCCAGGATGCGGCACCCTCTCCATGCCAAAGAAAAAAACACAATTAAAACTGTGTTTCTCAATGTTAAAGAACATTGTGGATATGAAATCTTAGTCCAAATCCCCACGGTCATATAAAGCATGTCACAGAATTGTGTTTGGGGGCATGGAGGAGTGTTACAAAATAAATATTTCCCCATTAGAGCACACTGGGGAACGTTTGCTGACACCTACACTCAAATCCAGCAGGTTCCCTCGGAAGAGTTTGGCAAAGAACAGGTCTCTCCTAAATGAGGTGCTGGAATTGGTTAAAAATTTAATATTTACAAAAATGGTGCATCTTAAAAACCAGAACTCAGGCCCACATGGGGGTGTCTGTGCGGGCTGTGTGGCTCTGGCTTTGGTCTATGAAATGTCCTGGGTCAACCAAGGATCGTCACCTTGTGTTGATCACATCATTCCTTCTGTTTCTAGAGCAGTCTGTGGAAAACATCAAGGATTTTTTTTTTTCCTTCTTGGAATCTTTGTCTTTATCCCCCCTCCTGGAAAATTCTTCCTGAAACTGTTGATGGTTTGTTTCAGAGGATTCTAAGAGATTCCTATTTGCAAGGGCCTTGGGAGCACAAGTCAATAGGTGTGATAATTGCTGGTTCCTCTTGGAGAACATTTTCCTCTACATGACCTCTAGATAGTCCGAGCTACCTGGTCATGCCCAGTTGCTCTGAGGAGCCTCATCTGCCCTGCCTCTGGCTCTCCTCTGTGGCCAGAATGAAGGGGAGGACCACAAGGGTGGCCGAAGGAGCTCGCCCTCCCACTGCCCTTCTCCACCAGGAGGTTGAGCATTTGGATTTTCAACCACTCAGGTGCTCGCAGTTCCAGATTCGATAATTTCCCCTCCAGCTCCCATGTCCTTAACGAATCCCTTTCCCTTCTTTACACACACATTCACATACTCACTCAAATCACATAAAACTCAATCTAGTTCCATGGTCTTAAGTTGTAAGTGGAGTGATGGTTGCCAAATTAGTTATTATACTGGTCCTTCCAAGGCAAACTGCATGGATTTTAATCCCTTAAGATTTTGGGAGTGTTTCTCTTACCTCCAGTGCTGGAATTTCAGGGCACCAGAGCAAATGGGCAGTTTCAAGACAGGGTGGCCTTTGAGCATTCGTCCAATCACAACACCTGCTTTGGCTGCTATGTTCAGATCATGGGGATGGGAGTTTCAACACCCTCTGGGACCCAAATTAGTCTATATATTTCAACACCATTTCAATCAGAGAAGACTTTTTTTTTTTTTTGAGAGTTTGGGAAATGAGAAACTTGACAAAACAATTCTAACATGTATTTAAGAGAATAAATATATGGGAATAGCCAAGAAAGATTTTTGAAAGGAAGAGGAAGGAGAGGGTACATGCTTGATTAGATATGAAAACATGAGTTCCACTTCTGTCCAGTGTGTCGAAAGCTGAAAATAGTGCCTCTCCCATCCTCACAAGCACAGAAAGTCAGATAAACTACAAAACCATAAATTTCCTTAAACCCATCAGAAAGTTAAACTCATACAGAATCAAAAAGCCTGAAATCTATGGAAAGACAGCCCCTCCAAGGAGAGATGGGACATAAGCAAGGGCTTTCTTGTGGTTGAGTATATGAACAACAGAGACCAGGTGCCATACAAAAAAAAGAAAAAAGAAAAAAAATAATTCAGCTAAAAAGTGTAATAAATTGTTAAAGGCTAAAAGTGGGCAAGCCTGAGAGTATAGCACCCCTGGGAGTTGGAAATACAAGTGGAATTTACACCCACTTGCAGGTTTTCATCAGAGGCCTCCACCCATTGCTTGAGAAAGGACTGAAAGTAGGGCAAGAGACCAAAGCAGCTGCCCTCCACGGTACAGGCCTGTGGAAGGGAAGCAGCATTGCTGAGGGAAAGGCACAGATTATACCCAGACACTATTCCCCTTAAGCCGCTGGGGGAAGGCAGCAAACTCTGTTGCACTGGGGCACCCATTGTAGCTGGGAGAAGGGTAAGAGACAAAAAAATCCTTCCTGGAAAAGGGGCAGGAAACAGTTCTGGGCCCAAGATCCTATAAGAAGTCTCTCATGAAGTGGGAAAGGGATAGGACATGTTCTCCTGCATAAGACAGAAGGCATGGTTCAACTGCCACAGGGAGAAACGGCAGAATTTCTGAGTAAGCCCCACTCCTGAGACCCAGATACACAGGGCCAGCCTGGGATTGCACCAGGATAAAACCCACCCACACTTCCCAGTACCCAGTAACAAGTAACAGCAGTCTACCCCACAGGCTGGGGACAAGAGCATGGAGAAAGAACCTTTCTGAGGCAGAGATACAAAGTGAAGGCTGAACTCTGCAGCTGAAGAAAGAACACTGAGAAAAACCCTCCGATACCCCAGCCATGATCATAAACATAAGGTAATGCTGAAAGAATCTGAATCTGGTCATGCACTGAATATAATCATAGCACCCCCCCCCCCAAAAAAAAACCCCAAACCAAACCCAAGCCTGGCTAAAATCCTGCTATATTCACTCAGTCTAACAGAACAAGGTTAATGTCTATTTCCAGGCACAAATACTATTTACCTTAGCTTTCTGGTCTACACACAATGTTGCATCAATAAAAAAATTAGGAGAAACATTAAAAAAAAAATCAAGGGAAAAATAAACAACCCACTGTCAAGAGGCAAAGTAATCAACACAACCAGACTCAGAGATGATCCAGATAGAATTATCAAATAGGGCATTTAAAATAACTAATATATTAGAAGCCTAGTGGAAATGATGAATATGTATGAACACATCAAAATTTTTATCAAAGAAATGAAAACCATAAAAAAGAATCAAGCAGAAGTGTCAGAAGTAAAAAAACATAGTGAGGATGAGGAATGCCTTTGATAGGCTCAAAAATAAATTAGACACAGCTGAGGATAGAAACAGTAAACTTGAAGGTAGGTCAATAGAAATAATCAAACTGAGGACTCCTGGAGTGGCTCCGATGGTTAAGCGTCTGCCTTCGGCTCAGGTCATGATCCCAGGATCCTAGGATCGAGTCCTGCATCGGGATCCCTGCTCCTTGGAGCCTGCTTCTCCCTCTGCCTCTCTCTCTCTCATAAATAAAATCTTAAAAAAAAAAAAAAAGAAAGAATCAAACTGAAACACAAAGGGGGGGGGAAGCCCAGAGAATCTAAGAGCTGTGAAACAATATCAAACTCTCTGTTTGGAATTCTAAAAAGAGAGGGGAAAAAAAGGGGGGAGGGAGAAAAAAAGAGCAAAAGAGCAAGTGAAAGAGTGAAAGAAAAAATGAAACAAATATTTGAAAAGATAGGTGTCAAAATTTTCCAAAACTAATAAAAGACATCATGCCGAGAACCCCAGGCAGGATAAATACAAATGAATAAAGAAGCCAACACACCAAAACACATTATATTCAAACTGCTGGGATTGGATTATACATACAAATGTCTGAAAACTTCAACAATACACCTAAAGACAGACCCGATGGTTTCATTGGAAAATTCTATCAAACATTTAGAAAAGAAATTAGCACCTATTATATGCAACATATTCTAGAAAATAGAAGAGAGGGTAACACATCTCATTTTATGAGGCCAGCATTATCCTGACATCAAAATCAAAGATAGTTTTAAAAACTATTAATATCCCACATGAACGAACATTGGTGCAGAAATCCTTCAAAAAATTGGAGATATATAAAAAGAATACAGGGAATAAACACCAACTAAATGATAAATGGATAAAATTGCTCATGTCAATATTTTAAAAGTGGAAATTTGGGTCAAAAAATAAAGAATAATACATTACTAGTGAATGGAGTTTATTCTGAGAAAGCAAAACTAGTTCAATATTAAAAATTGTCTTCCACCATATGAACAGCATTTTTAAACACACATAACACATTGCTACTATTTTTACTCTTGTCCTGTGTCTTTTTAGAACAATTGAATTTGTAATGTATTTTGCCTTCATTCATTCAATTCTCAGTGCTCTTCGTTATCTTTGTTTCAGCTCCTGCTTGAAGAACTTCAACATTTCTTGTAGACTACATCTGTGGGCAATAAAGTCTTGGTTTTCATTTTCTGAATTCTTGCCCCTTGGTTAGGGGGAAGGATTTTGGTTTTTGTTTTTCTGTTTCCTTCTCTCAGTTTTATCAGTACTGCAAGGAAAACGAGGTTTTGTCCTATCTCCTGCAGATTAAGGCTTTTGTTCCAGAAGGGATGAGGAGGGCTGGGAGTGGATGGTTTCAGGTCCCTCCACAGTGGCTATTTTTCCCTTCCCCAGACCTGCCCCACGGAGGGATTCTTTCTCAGGACTTTGGCCAGTCTTTTCTGTGAGGGCCTGATGGGCTTCATGGAGAAAAGCCTGAAAAACAGATGCAGACTCCCCTATTTATGTGGTCCCCAGGGGCTCACACTCCCTTACCAGCCCACACTCATTCTCCACTAATTCTTTACCTACTCCAGGTGACTTCTGTTGGCCCCATCTCCCCCCCAGGGAGGCGAGGGCTCGTGGCCTGCACTTCTCCACACGCCCGACTGATCCTTCGATTTCAGCCTACTTGCTTGCCCTGTAACCTCAGCTCTCGGATGGGTCCAAAAAAAGGAGTAAACTTGTAGTTTGTTTGTTTGTTTGTTTGTTTGTTTACTTTAATGAGAGTGGAGGTGACGTTCCTTCTAGATGTCTACATCTTGAGTTTTCTATTGTCTTCTCACCTGGCTAGCCCACAGGGCCATTTCATTCCTCAATATGCTTTTCATACTCACAAGAATGCCTCAGAGACAGCCACACTAGCACGGACATGCTCCCATCGGCCTGGAGGGAGCCTCCTTCCAGGAGCCAGGTCTACCCTGTGGAGAGCCAGAGGTCCAGCTGAGGAGGAAGCCGGGGTCCTCAGTCCCACGCTGGGAAGGGTCAGTAGAGAGTCCAGCTTGCAGAGAGAGCAATGAGCATGCAAGCAGCCCCTTTGCTTTCCAGACTCTGTATCAGTCTCCAGTGCCTGTTTGTGCCCCCACAGCTGTCATCTGGGAGGCTGCCCCCATCCTAGCAGCTTCCGCATGTGTAATGCCAGGAGCTCCCTCTTTGCAGCCGGGGGCGGTGGAGATTGTTTCAGCCTTGGCAGGTGAAGATAACATGGTTGAGAAGCCACATTTATTGGCAATAGAAAACGGGGTCCATGTGTTCCCACTCCACACTGTGTACCTTCTTAGGTGTCTGAGCTGCTCTGGCTTCCAGCTGGTTCATTTGCCTTCACTCTTAACAAAAAGGAGAGACAGGGCAGAGAGATGCACACACTCATATGTTTTATGTATGGGGTCTGTAACAGTGTTGAAAAGGAACAGTTGATTTCTTTCTTTCCTTTTAGTGAAGAGCGAATAGGGGCCGCTGAGCACACAGCAGAGCCCCTCCTCTACCACACTCAGGGGTGTCCTTCAAAGTGAAAATCACCATGCTCTTGCCTTCAAAGGTTTCAATGCTTGTGCATATTTATCAATGAAATTGCTTACAGATAGGCTATAGAAGAGCACTGTTTCTTTGTAGGGTTTGAGACTCTCAGTTAATTCATACTTGCATCCCACATTCACCTCAAAATACCCCTAAAGAGGTAGATTTTGTTATCTACACTTCACAGAGAGGAAAATCAAAGCTCCTAGGGAGTGACGAACACAGTCACTCAGCTCCTAAGGAGGAGAAATCTCTTGGAGTAGTGCTAGAGTGCAGGGGGGGGGGTTCACACAATGGAGGGAGTTGACGTGGGAGCTGCTTTCTGCAACCTATGTCCTCGCCTTTGTCCCTAAGCCCTCCGGTTGGAGTCTGAGCTTGTCTCTCAGTCAGGAAACAAGAAACAGATGATGTACTCAAAAGGAAAGTGTAGTAAAGAAACTTTACACAATGTAAGAAGCAAGGTTTAAGGAAATCACTGGGGGACAGTGAAGTACCCTCGTGGCCCATGTATGAGTCTGCTAGGGCTCCTGTAACAAAACAGGGCAGACTGGGTGGCTTCAACAGTACAAATGCATTTGCTCACAGTTCCGGAGGCTAGAAGTCCAAGATCAAGGTGTTGGCAGGTTTGGTTTCTTCTGAGGTCCCTCTCCTTGGCTTGCAGATGGGCGGGTGCCTCCTCACATGGTCTTTCCTCCATGCGTGGGCAGCCCTGGTGTCTCTTTGTCCAAGTTCCCTGTTCTTATAAGGACGCCGGCCAGATTGGATGAGGGCCCTAACTTTATCACCTTTTCAGAGGCCCCATCTCCCAAGTCCAGTTGTATTCTGAAGTATTGGAGGTTAGCGCTTCAACATATGAATTTGGGAGAGGACACAATTTAGCCCATAACAGCTAGTAACAATGAGGGACAGGTAGTTATTACTCCCCTATGACTGAAGTGGCAAAGAGGAAGCCCCCGGCAAGGATGGCTACATGGAGAGGGCCACCTGACAGGAGTTGTGCCTTTGGTAGAGAGGTGCAGCCAACATGGCCTGGCAGAGAGGGGGTGTGGGGGGGTGTTTACCCTGATATCACTTTCATCTCCTCTCTGACCTCCCACGGGTGACTTTCTTTCTTTGGCAAGCGATCCCACTGACACAGCCCACAGGGGTCTGCCTCCTTGACTGAGAGCCGGGTGGGAAAGGGTGGAGGGGCAAGTATGAGATACTCAGCATGGCTTACAAACTGAGCACTAAAGTCTGCTCTGAAGTGATGGTGATTTACAAGAGGGGCATCCCATTGCCTGGTTTTTCAATTATTCCTAGGTACATTCAATGGTGAGAGGACACTGGGAAAACAACTATGTCTGTAGGGTCATTCTAAGCAGACATTTCACAAGAAAACAGTCTTTGGAGATGTCTTCTCTAGGGTTGGGGGCAGAGGCATCATCCACATTACTTAAGCGGACAGCGGAGAAGGATCAGGGATAACCTGGGTTTCCACCGGCTCCTCAGAGCCCTTCCAGTCGGAGTCTAGGTGTGTTCATGGCTGCATGTGATCACGCCTCTAGGCCTTTACCTGTGCTGCTCCCTCTGCCTGGAGCGCCCTCACACTCCTTTTCACTGACCAACTCTCACTTATTCTTCAAGAGAGGCATCCACTCCCAGAACCCTTTCTTGGACTCTCAGGCCCAGAGTAGGTACCCCTTAGCGCGCAACCATCATAGCCAATGTTCTCCGCATTGTACCGCTCGTTTGACGAAAACAGAGACTCACAGAATGAGAAAGCCCACTGGGGGGACCCATGGCAACAGGCCTCGGTCCAAAATCAAAATCAAGGCAGTCGGCAGGACTGAGGGACATACTCTGAACTTCCTGTAAGGTAAGGAGACTCTTATTGCAGATGTAATAGGCAGACCAGTTTTCTGGTTTTAGCCATGTGCCAGGGGACAATAGCACATGATAGCGGTGGTCACCCAAAGATGTCAACATTTCAATATGTTTTAGGCAGGACACAGCATAGACGAGGGTGGAGGGGGTTATCCATCCATCCATCCATCTATCCATCCATCCGAGCACACCCTCGGGGTGGGGGCTACTGTGCTAGGAGGTCGGGGGGGTCACAAAAGCATGAGCGGCGGTCCCTGCGCTCCCGCGTGGCATCTCCCTGAGGCCCGGCCTGCCTCGCCCGTGCGGTGGAGCGTTGCGGGCGACGTGGCACTCCTCCGCAGTTCGGCCGCACGCCTCAGTGCTTTAGGACTGGCCTTTGGAATCAGGCCTCCATCCTGACTGACCAGCTCCGACGTTGGACACATTTATTTAAGCTCCGTGAAGCGATTTCGTCGTCTGTGCAACGGAAACAGTAGTGCCATTGGCATCGGGTTGCTGTGAGAGTAAAATGAACAAGCCGCACAAATGAAATACTCAGCAATTGTTAGCTGTCTTGTTTTATTGACAGAAGTACTTAGGGATTCGGGAGAAAAATCGCCATGGGCTGGGTGGTCAGGAAAGGCTTGGCGGAACCTGAGAAACTTGACTTGGGCCTGGGAAGGTGGGTTTGGAATGTCTGTGGATGGTGAGCAAAAGGACGGGTCAAGCAATGACCCCAAAACACTGGCCAAACGAAAGTAATCCCACGGCCTCTGGGCCCAGACCCTTGTCCAACTTACTTTGGTTTTAAGTCCTCAGTCAAGCCTCCCACCTCAGGCAACCGCCCCCTCACAGCCCCTGCTTCCAGGTCTGGCTAATTCCCCTTCTGCTCAAACCCTCCATGATTTGCTACATGCCATGTGGCCCTCTAATTCCATCCCAAGGCTCCAGAGGTGCAGATCTGCAAACCAGCGTGATTAGCCACCACTGCTGGCTTCCCATTCAGCATATAAATCTGCTGCCTGGGATTACCTCATGCCAGAAAACCGAAATCCAAGTCAGATGGTTAAAGCATTAATAGCAGTGAGTGTTGTAAAGACTCAACAATGCGAACCTTCCCAAAATGAACCATCCTGACCTCCCTTGTGCTGACAATGCGTGTGTGACATCATGTGTAAATGAGCCTTAAATTTGAACCAGGTGCCGAGAGCTGTCTGGCGTCTCCAGGCTGCTGTATTAACCACTAACATGCACAGGGCGGTTCTGAGGCAGTAAAATGAAGCGAAACCCATGGCAGGGACCAGGGCTGGGCCGCAGCAGCTGTGGCAGTGAATATTCAAATCACGCCCACCCTGTTGGGCCCAGGCCCCCGGGCCCTGTAAAGCTTATTTCCGGATGGCTGGAGAGCCCCCGGGGAGAATTTGGCTGGCTTCACTCAGTGACAGTGCTCCTCCATGCAAATCAATCCGTTCTGACTTGATTCCCAGGCTTGATTCTGGGCTGTTTTGATTTGCATCCGTGAGGTAGGACTCTGAAGCTCGGTCTGAAGCAGCAGTTGGTGACAAAGTTGATCATGCAGGGACAGGCAGCCTAAGAGACATTTTTGGAGGGCGCAAGTTCCAAGGAAGAGGGCCAGCTCCAAATCCTCAGGTGCTATGGTTTCTGCTGGGCTGACACCTGGAGATAGAAGTGTGCCTTTGTCCGTCTGGCCTCACAAATCCCCTCAGCTGGGCCTGTCCCCACAGCAGGTTACAGGACAAACAGGCTCTGGAGCTCACTAAACAAAATTTGGACGGATGGAATTAGGCGTGTATGTGACCTACCATTGTCAGTCATAGGTCTGAGAGAGTGGATGCAGCAGGGTAAAAGTGAGCTAGGAAGAAATTAAGCCCAATACAATTGAGAGGGTTTTGGGGTTTCTTTTTAAATGCTTACTGTTCATGGTGCCCGATCCCAGGTTATTAAGAGCACGACCATGTTACTAGCCTGCATTCCTTTCATCGCTAGAAACTGGAGGCCCATAGAAACTGGAGACATTGAGGATAGAAAGAAGGCTTATGAAATGATTGCTGTCTTCGTGGGGACTGTTCTAGAAGCTCTATACATGCTGGTGAAAAGAAGCTGGAGCCAAAGAGGTGAAAACCCACACCCCACAGACCCCATAGGTCTTCAGTCCAAAGAAATCCTGTGTTGTTGAGGGCAAGCTCTTATACCACCAACACTCACCAAGTGCACTACACGGTACTGTGAAGTTGGGCGGGGGGGGGGGGGGGCATGGGAGGCAGGTCCTGGACAGAGGATGTAAAGGGGCTGCTAGACATAG